CCGGGCGCTCGCTCGGCTGCGCGCCGCAGGGGCGAGGAACGGGGTGGCAGCAGGGACGGTAACCTCCTCCGGCGGCCATGCCGTGGGTCCCCGTGCCAGGGCGGCCTCGCATAGCCCATACGCTATTTCTGCCCAAGGGATGCAGGAGGGATGCCGCGAAGGACCCCCAACTCTTGGGATGCTGATGCCCCTCGGGGACCACGCTGGGATCCAGGGTGGGAGAAGCCCACTGCGGGGGTGAGCCCGGGGGTGGCTCGTACCGGTGAGGAGCTGGAGGTCGGGCAGGGGCTCCGAGAGGACGCCGCGGCACTGCTCCTCCACGGGCAGCGGGATCACCAGGAGGCCGTCGGCCAGCTGCGGGAAGTCCTTGATGAAATTATTCTCCCTGCAGAGAGAAAAAGACAACTGCAAAGCCACGATGCAGGCCACGGCCGGGCAGGGGGGCTGAGCTGCCCCGGCGGCACAGGGATGGATGGCTCGGAGGACGAGGGACACCTCCTGCGAGCAGGAGACCTAACTGGGGAGCGGGTCACCAGCCATCCCTGGCTCCACCACAGAGGTCCCTGCCAACCCCTACCATTCTGTGATTCTGTGATGCCTAACGAGCTCCCCGGGGGCCGTCGCTCCGTTAGCTCTCGGGCAACATGGGACCACTCTCAGCCTGGGGACTTGGCCACTGGTTTTGGCCTGGGTTTTCAGAGTGTGCCACTGGAGAGGGGACAGACGGCAGTGAGGAGAGATGAACAGCTGCTGCCCCCCAAAGCTGCCCCCTCCCACCACCTCCTCCCAGCACGGGACCAAGCCCCGCTGGGGCTCCTCACCCCAGGCAGCATCATTGCCGCCACGGCTTTGCCCCCACGACTGGCTCTCCAAAAGGAGGAGAAGGTACACTTATAGGCAGACACCAAAAAAAAAGCCCAGCGCATGCAGCTTACGGTGCGATTTTATCACACATGCGGGATCTCGTCTAACCCTGGCAGGTATAACGCTGTATAATAGGCCCCTAATGAATTGTTTCTAGAACAACGATGCCGGGGAAATTATTTGAAATGGTGAACAGACAGGTCTCTGGGAGACGAGCCTCCCCCGGCAAGCAAAACGCCTCACACCCGCGCAAAGGAGACGGCAGGGGGGATTTTAAATATTGATCTTAGAGCCAAAATAGAGGCCAGGAGCTCTGTGTCCTCCGGGTGCAGAGACAAAAGGGCAGCGGAACAGATAAAAGGGAGGTTTCTGCGAAAATCAGGTCAGCCCCAGGAGCTGGGGGAGGCTCAGGCTGGCACCACCTGCCCCAGCTGCATTTTTCTGAATAGATTTTCCTTTACACAGCTGCTGGGTTCAGCCCCTTTCCCTGGTTTTACCCCTGGAGCTCGTCCCTAGGAGGGATGCTCCATCACCCCATGATCATCTCCCAAGTGGGGACACCTTGGCCACCTCCACGGGTCCCATTGCAGTGAGATGCTGAGGTGGTGGAACACTTCCCCGGGGCTCTCCCGCTGCTCCAGGGTCAGGACACGGCCACTGCAACCTGTACCGGTGGCAAGCAGGAGGCCATAGCCCTGTCCGGGGACGCTCCCAGCCCCGAGGCGGGCAAGGAGCAGTGGGATGAGCAGCAGCAGGAGGGGACACACGAGTGGGGCTCTGCCACCGAGCAGCAGCCTGCCTTCACACTGCACCCCTGTCTCACAGCCGCCGGCACCGGGCTGCGCCTCAGAGCTTCACTTTAGGCACTGCTGGAGAAAAAGTGGTTTATTTGTCTGAGGGGAGAAGCCTCTCGCTCGCACGTGCGCTCACAAATCTCCCACTTATCACGCCGGGCACGGGATCCCCGTGGCGGAGCGGTGCTCTGCTCTTCTCAGCCCTTCGCTGTCTTAGGGATGCAAACGGGGAACTGCAGTCACTGCCGGTGCCGGGAGCTGCGCGGGCGGTGGGAAGCAGGGCTGCAAAATTAGGTGAGTCGGTAAGGGAACTCGGGAAGGAGCGTATCGATGTCTCTGCTGCTCTGCTCAGCACAAAAGGGACAACAGCATCAGTGCTACCAAATCCCAACGCCTGGAGAGGCGCGATGCCGCACTGGGAAAAGCGGGATGGAGCTGGGCTGAGCCCGCCTGCCGCCCCGGAGCACGGGGACTGTGCCCTCCCCAATGGGTCAGCCCCGCACCCTGTGCCCGAGGCTGAGCACGAGGGCCAGGCGGGTCACACCAGAGGCCTGCCCAGCCCCGCATCCCACCTCCGAGAGGACCAGGAGGGGATGCCCAGGAGGACGATGACGTTGGCTGGCGGCACCTTCCCAAGCACTGTCCCACCGCTCCGCACAAAGGGACAGTGATGCCAGAAGAGCTCAGCCGTGGGGGACCGAAACACATGGCATGGCAGACACCACAAGACCGCGTCAACCCAGTGCCTTGCACCCAGGCACAGGGCAGAGAAGATGCAAAGCAGCAGCGTGTCCTCCTTCCCCGACGCAAACCCACCCAGACCATCTCACGGATGCCAGCCCGCAGACCGGCTGTCCCTGGGCACGAGCCCAGCCCTGCGGCTGGTGGTCCATGCACGGGCAGCTACGGGGGGAGAAGCTGCAGGAGATGCACACCAGTGTGAGGGAACCGCACGCAGCGCCTGCTGCTCAGAGCTGCTGCCTCCACGAGAAGGTATTTACCGAAAAGCCGCGCTCTGCCGTGCCGCTTGCTGTAATGCCGTTTGCTTTCACCGCTCCGCAGCCGAAAGGTCAAGGAAAAACACGGGGAAAGTGCGAGCCAAGGCGTGGGCGCACACACCGGCGCGTGCCCACAGCCTGCTCCCGTAAGGCGAGGGAGCAGCGGCACAAGGCAGAGCTTCAGGAGGGGTTCGATCACGCAGTCTTGCTACCAAACCCTTCCTGCGCCTCTCCCCATCTCCAGCCTCCTGCCACCCCGCAGCAGGGCTGAGCCGAAGCCCCCGGAGCGGAGCACACGCTGGGCGCAGCCCCCGGGCACGGCGCAGCCCCCCGCAGAGCCCTGCCGTCCGGCACCGCGCCGAGCCCCGCTGCAGAGGCACAAAAAAGAGTTTCTGCCGGGCTTTTGTGTTCTCTGGAAGCTGTGATCAAAGCTGTCGGGCTCTGTGTGAGGGTCAGGGACACAGGCGAGGGGAGGGATGTGACAGCATCCCTGGGCACATGCTGCTGCACGTGCCTCCATCCAGGGCATGGCCGAGCCACCGGCACCTCCGCATGGGTGTAGGACCACGTGCGGGGTCATGGAATCATAGAATGGTTTGGGTTGGAAGGGACCTTTAAAGATCATCTGGTTCCACCCCCCTGCCATGGGCAGGGACATATTCCACCAGCCCAGGGTGCTCAGAGCTCCATCCAGCCTGGCCTTGAACCCTGCCAGGGAGGGGACAGCCACAGCTTCTCTGGGCAGCCTGGGCCAGGGCCTCACCACCTTCATGGGGAAGAATTTCTTCCTAATATCTGATCTAAATCTGCCCTCTTTTAGTTTAGAGCCGTTCCCCCTTGTCCTATCACTACACACCTCGGGGTCTGTGCCACTTCCAAGAGGCACGGCAGCACTTTCATGACCTTGCTGTTCCTACTGGTCATGGACCCAGATGGAGCCCTGGCCCAGGCTGCCCAGGGAGGCTGTGGAGTCTCCTTCTCTGGAGATATTCCAGCCCCGCCTGGACGCGGTGCTGTGCAGCGGGTGACCCTGCTTCGGCAGGGGGTTGGACTGGGTGACCCACAGAGGTCCCTTCCAACCCCGAACATTCTGGGATTCTGTGATTCCGATGGGATCAGGAGACAGCCCAGCAAAGCCGCCTGCTCCCAGCACCTGCTGGCCCCACACCATCCTCCTCTGTCTCTCGTTCTGCCCCCCAGCACCCCCCCAGCACTCACGGCGCAGATGCCCGACACTCGCAGGAGCAGCGAGCGTGCTGCTCTCCCCAGCATGCTGCACGCTGAATCGTGGACTGGCAGCGCTCTCCTGGTGGGGATCCGAACATCTCTTGGGGCATTTTGCAGATACTGAGTCGTTATCTGAGAAAATGCTGTTTCTCCCTCGCAGCCTCCGACCCAGAGTATGTCCCTGCCTTGGGAGGGAGCTGACTTCCCGATAAACGAGTCTTGGTGCTGGGAAAGGTCAAATGGCCAAAGGCTTTACGGAGCTCTCGTACCGGCAGGGTGGGCAGAGGAGGAAGGCAGTCGCCTGGATTAAACTAAGTTCGAAATCCTGGCTTTGACGGATGCTTCACGTAACCTTGGCCAAGTCATAAAACGCACCCGTTGCCTCGGGCGACACGGATAACAGAGAGCAGCTCCCTCCGTCCCGGGTGCTGGTGGGGTAAAGGCAATTAGCGGCTGCTCAGGTACCAGGAGGAGGGCTCAGGCAGCGAGAGCCCGCTGTGCTGGTGTTCTCCTGTCCTTCTGAAACCAGATACACAAACGAGAGATGTTTTCAGGGAATCTGACCTTAAATAATACAGCCAAGGTGATGCAATACAGCCGTGGCGCGGTGCAGCGCAGGGCTGCGTTGCGGTGCTCCGCAGTGCTGGTATCACCTCACGCAGCCGAAAGGACCAGTACCCCACAGCACCCCTGAGCGAAAGGGGGTTTTGGGGGAGCAGCCGGAGTGCTGTGGTCCTCCTGGATGAGGCCACGGCCACCAGGTCGTGGTCCATGGCGTGATTCTGCTGAGCCCTGGGGCACCCCGTCTGCTTGCCGAGGCGCTGAGAGCCAGGGCCAAGCTCGCGGTGGGATTTTGGCCCGCAGCAGTGAAAGATCAGCTGGTGACTGACATTCGTTTCATTTTCCTGTTAGCAACGCCGCTGGGTGAAGGAGCAGCTTCTCCTCCTCGGCTCAGCCGGCTGTGGCTTCCTCCCTGCGCACTTCGCTCCCCAAGGACACGGCCTCGAGGCCGGACTCTGCCCGCTGACCCTCTGGCAGACCCTCCCCGCTCCTCTGCAGCTCCCACCACAAACCCACGCATCAGCTAGCGTGGGGCTGCCCAACTCCAGCCGCGCGGCC